CGGGGATTTAGCTCAGTGGTTCTGCCATCTGCCTCGCAAGTGCAAGGACTCAAGTTCGATCCCTGGTTCCCCCCTCAAAAAAAAATAATATCCAATGGGGAAAAAATAAGAACCAAGATGCATCATGTAAAGGTACAAGTTCCCAATGAGAAATGTAATTGTGTTGTATACCTAAAATGTACCAATAAAAGAATTTAAGAAAAAAATAAATTCCATTAAAAAAATAATATCCCAGCTTGAGGGGACAAATGTGATAAAATCAAATAAAATTTATTAAAGCCAAAAAATAATAATATTCCATGCAAATACAACCTGAAAGCAGACAGATGTAGTTATATTCATATCCAACAAAGCAGACTTCAAGACAAAACTCCTCAGAAAAGACAAGATGGCCACAACATATTGGTAACAATCCACCAAGAATATATTAAATTGTAAAGAAATATACACCAATCATAGTGTACTCAACTTCATAAAATAAATAGTACTTCACATAAAGTGACATATAGGACCTAATTCAAGAATAGTGGGTGACTTCAGTATTCTATTCTCACCAATGGGTCGGTCATGCAGATAGATCCCCACCCCCTACAAAATACCAACAAGCATCAGAGTTAAACTACACAATAAATCAGAGGGACTTAGGGCTGGGGATTTAGCTCAGTGGCACCATGACTGCCTCGCAAGTGCAAGGTCCTGAGTTCAATCCCTGGTACCAAAACAAAACAAAAAAATCAGATGGACTTAATAGATATCAACAGAATATTCTATCCACCAACTACAGAATACACTTTTTAGCAGCTCATGGAACATTCTCCAATATAGATCATATTTTAGACCATAAAGCAAGTCTAAACAAATACAAAAAAATGAAATAATTTATTGCATCTTACCAGATCATAATGAAGTGGAACTAGAAAACAACAATTAGAAAAACTACAGAAATTATACAGATGAAGATTGAACAACTCATTTTTTTGTTGTGGTGCTGGTGATTGAACCCAGGACCTTTGCACTTAGCTATATCCCCACCCCTTTTTCAGTTTTCATTTTGAGTCAGGGTCTCACTAAGTCACTAAATTCCTCAGGCTGGGCCCAAGTTTGAGATTCTCTTGCCTCAGCCTCCCAGAGTGCTAGGATTACCAGCATTTGGCACCCACCCTGTAACAATTTACTTTTGAAAGATTAGTGGGTCACTGAAGATATCAAGGGGAAATCTTTTTAAATTCCTAGAATCAAATGAGAATGGAAATGCAACATGCCAGAATCTCTCAGATATGGGAAAGGTGGTTCTAAGAGAGAAGGAAGTTTAATCTTTAGCCAATAGGGAAAGGCAAATTAAAATTACACTGAGATACCATCTCATACTGGTCAGAAGGGCTATCATCAAGAATACAAGAAAACAATAAATGCCAGTAAAGATGTGAGAGGAAAGAAACATTTTGACACTGCTAGGGGTATATAAATTAGGACAGCCACTATGGAAATAAGTATAGGTGTTCTTCCAAAAATCTAAAAGTAGAACTACATACCATATGACCCAACTGTACCACTCCTTGGTATATACCTAAAGGAATTAAAGTCAGCATACTATAGGGATATCTGCATATCCATGTTCATTGCAGAACAAATCACAATTCAACTAAGTTATGGAACCAGCCCAGATGCCCATCAAAAAATGAACAAATAAAATGTGGGGAAATATAAATGTGTGTGTGTGTGTGTGTGTGTGTGTGTGTGTGTGTGTGAAATGGAGTATTACTCAGCTATAAAGAACAAAATTGTCATTTTCAAGAAAATGGATGAAACTGGAGATCATGTTAACTAAAATAAGTCACATTCAGAAACATAAAAATCACAGTTTCTCTAATGTGTGGAATCTAAAAAAAAAATGTGGGGAGGAAGAATAAAAGGAGAGGGGTGTAAGCAAGGGTAAAAGGGAAGATGGATATAATCAAAATGTTATATGCACGCAGGAAAATACCACATTGAAGCCCAATATTTTGTAGAACTAATAGGCATTAATGCAATATTAAAAATAAAATATTTCAAATTCCAAAACCTATGATATAATTATATTGAAAAGCTACAGAGAAAAGAAATGTGTGTTGGAGGTAGCTGGCCTCCACAGTCATACGTGACCTTGATATATGCAGATGGCTGACCATTTGTGGTCGAGGAGCACAACTCCTATCAGGTTCAAGTGAGACGATCCCAACCTCTAGGCCTCACCAGCCAGAGCTACCTTACCTGTGATGACTCCGCCACAATCTCAGGGGCTATTTTCCCCACAGACATCTGGAAATAGTGATACACCACTCCTGCAGGTTGATGAGAAGACCTGTTAAAGCATTTAAAAAACTGATATGATTGCTTTTTTGTCAAATAAGTTTTGAATGTCACCATTGACAGCGGACCAGAAACCATATGCTTCTAAACTGCTTAAACTTGTGGCAAAAGATATTAGGAACTAAAATGTGTGAAGAGATATATAGTTGTTTTTTTGTTTTGGTTTTTGAGACAGGGTCTCGCTATGTAGTCCAAGCTGGCCTTGAACTCACTATGGAGTCCAGGCTGGCCTCAGACTCACAGCAATCCTCCTGCCTCAGCCTCCCGAGTGCTGAGATTACAGGTGTGCATCACCACAGCCAGCAAGATACATAGTTTTTCCAAAGGTACACAAGCAAAATTATGAAGATCACTGTTGTAGGACATTATTAGATTGTGTAGAGTTTGAGGCATTTGTATTTTGGAGTTGGGGCAGCATGAACTTTAGAGTTAGACATGGAGTCAAATACCAAGTTCACTTTGAAAGGAAGAAAGAGACAAAGAAGGTAACCTTGCCCTTGAAAAGTATAGCCAGACCCTTATGGGAGCTATGTACATAGCAGCCTGGGGTTAGGTGGATGTGTGAGCCCTGCTGGGCAGCAGGAGACTGGGGTGACCCTGAGGTGGGGATCAGTCTCCCAGGTCCTGCCATCATCTCCAAGCCACCCAGAACCCAGCCTGTTACCTGCAAGAATGATGTGTGCTACATACAGGAACTTGAAGAGTCTGGAAGAGAAAGCATTGCTGAGAGAGGGGCTGGGTGTCCCTGGCCCTTCCTGGTGGGTACTGGCTTTCCTCCCCCTACCAGACCCTAGAACCAACTCTACCAGGGTTGGTCCAGGCAGCATTTGTGGATGAGCAAATCTCAGCTGCAACAGGGCTCAGATGACTGATGGGCATGATTCTTTGCCTCTTCCTAGTCCGTCAATACCAGACTTTCAGCATGGAGTGCTCAGGAAGCGCTGGCTCCCTCTGTAATGGATTCCATGCCCCCCACCCTCCCACACACACTAAGAGGGACACCTTGGCCAGAAGACAGGAGCAGACCCATTTCATGCTGGATTTGCTCTTCTCCCCATGTTCCTCCAAACCTGAGACTAGAAACAATATCCCATGGCCCAGCCTACTCTTCTAGGGTCCTCCCCTAGGACAAGAGAGCATCTTGGTACTGTCAGGATGGTGGCTCCCTGCCTGCACACACACAGGTGAACACACAGGGGCATCCCCACCTGCCAGGCCCAGGCCCCCACCCTGAGCTTCTGCTGCTCCACTTCCTCTTTCCCTTGACCTCCAATCCTGGATCCATTACCACAGTCAGGGGAAGAGGAACAGAGAACCCCATTTTCCCTTCCTCTCTTTGTTCATTTAGGAACAAGGTAACAAGGCCCACATAAACGTTACCCCTCTCTTTGGCATCATAGACCAAACAGCATTTCCAGTCTAGGAAAAAAAGATGGGCAACAGTCAATATACCATGCAGGCCTGGAAGCCCAGTGCTTCCTCACCTCATGGCTGGCAGGGATGACAATGGGGTCAGAGGTGGTTGGGAAGGGCAAGTAAACCCCTACTCACAGGGCTCAGCCAAGGCATGGCCTGCTGGTCACAGCTGGAGGCCAGTTACACGAGGAACATGGGAAATGCTCAGGAATTTCTCCTGAAAGATCTGAGTCCCCGAATGAAAGCTGGTTTCAGTCCCCTCAGTGTTAGAAAGGTCGGACCAACAAATCATGATGCAGAAAAGGAGTTGGGATGGATTCAAGAAAAAGCCACAGCTCTACTGGACCTTTGGCATCAAATGTCCCCAGGTGTAAGTGGCTAATTACAATAGTAAATAAAACGACCAAAACTTTAAAGTGTTTTCTGTTTTATGCAGCATATAAAAATAATTTTGAGAGTAGTGAAGATTTCCTAGCCTCCTCAAGACAGCTTTTTGTCTGAAATCCCACCACGCACGGTAGAAATCCACCCAGACTGAGATCATTGTAAAGTCAAGGACTCCAACAGGAGACGGACCCTCTGCCCAGCCTGGTGAGCCTCCCTTTCCCAAGTCAGCTCCCCATCCTCCACAGGGGGATCCCACCGCTGCTTTCCTCACATTCTGTGTGGCGGAGAGCAAAGAAAGCCACCGGCCCCTGCTGCCCACAGGCTGCCTCCTCTTCCTGTGCGCTCTCCGAGGCGAGCCGCACTCCTGCACAACTCAGTGTCACTCTTCACAACCTGTACATTCGGGAGTCCCTCTCACACCTGCACATTCTGCTTTTCCCACTTTTCTGGATCCTTCTTCCCATTAGCACTTAAACACATCACTCATCTCCTCCATAAAAGAAGAAAGGCGTCTGTCTCTCCCTTGAACCAACATCCCTCCTGCAGTTACTGTCGAAACTGTCCCCTGCCCTTCACAAGCACTGTCGACAGTGGATGGCTCCACTGCTCTCCCTGCCTTCACTCCACCACCCGCTGCAATCCGTTTCTGGCCCCTTAAGCCTCTCACCAAGGTCACCAAACCCAGCGCCCCAGGCAGCACAGCACCTCCCTGATCCTTGAGTCACCTTCTCTCCTGCTGCTTGACATTGTGTGCTCTCGTCTTCTTCCTTTCTTCCTCTGCCTGGCCTAAGCTTCTGTGTGGCTCCTGTCCTTCTGGGCACTCACCTAGCAGAGCAAGCCTCAACCCGGTGCTCATCATACTCACTGCCTCAGAGGCTGCTGACGAAAACAAAGACTCAACTTCCGCCTCAGACACTCTCAGTTCTGGGCCTTTGCACACCTCGGTCTCTGCCCGGAATGTCCTTCTCCACTCCATGCAGGGAGGCTTCCCTGAGCACCTGAGTTGGGTGGAGTGGCCCGCCGCCCTGCTCTTAGGGCATCATACTGTCCCCCAACAAGGAGCTTCTCTCAGAGACCACAGTAAACCTGCCCTTGTCAAACCCCTAGAAATTGGTCTCCAGCCTGAGAGACAGCAGGAGCTCAAGGACTAGGTGAATAAATGACCACATGGCTGCTGTTCATTCCTACTGCTTAAAGCCCCAGTCAGAGTTTTAAAGCAGACCTATTATATCTTACGGAGAATGCTGCTAGCAATGTATTCAACAGAAAGCTCTGTTAGTCATTTATACCTCGGTGTGAATGAAGTTGGTTTCTTTCTGAGAGGAGTTTATGGAAGGAAAGGAAAATGAGCCTTAAGGGAGAGGAAAGGAAAGGCAGATGGTACAGGCCAAGTAGGAAAGGCTAAAAACATAAGGCTAGTTTCAGCTGCTTGGGTGTGGTTTAGGGAGAGCAGCCTACTTATCAAATACACCAGCCTTGATGGTGCTCAGTGATTTGCAGAGAGCTCTTTGGCTGTTGAGGCAGCCTACCCACCTCTCCTCTCCTCGGGCTCTAGGACCAACCCTGAGAAGAGCACAGGAGCCCAGACACGTCTGGGAGTGAAAGGGAGAGCCCCCTCCTTTTGCAGACAGAGGGGTATCTGTGTGTGACATCATGTCTTAGGGGGCTTTATGACAGGGTGGCCTCTTTACCCTTAGCCAGAGCAGACTGTCAGCTACCTCAGAGGGGCTGGAAATCCCCACCAGTCAGAGGTAGCACCTCCATGTAGGGTACCTCCTTGGTTCAGTTCCTACCACCAGTGCTGACTGAGCAGCTGCACAATGCCAAGCTGTCCTGTAGACACAAAGACACCAAGGTGTTTAAGATTCAGTCTTGTTGCGTAATTCCAGAAGCATTTCTGATTCAAAAACAAGAACAGAGCCTAACAGCATCTGAGTGTCATTCATTTATCCATTCATTCAGCCAGTGTCTGCTGAGCCTTTGTTTGGGGCCAGGTAAAATGCTGAGGGGATGGAAAAGCAAACAGGACACTGAGCCGGACCTTGAGGAGCATGAGATGGCCCTGACTCAAGACAGTAACTTCTATCTCCTTGAAATTACTGTAAATGTAACCAAGTAATAATTGTGTATCTACACTCTGAAAAGAAACCAGAGTATCTATGGGTGGTTAAAAATGAGGGGAGGGGCCAGGGATTTAGCTCAGTGGTGTTGCACCTGCCTTGCAAGTACAGGGTCCTGAGTTTGAGCCCCGGTACAAAAACAAAAGCAAAAACTGAGGGGTGCCTTAGTTTCATGTGGATATAATGGGATAAATCATATTTTGGAGATGGTCTCTATATATTTAAAAGATAAAATGCATTTCAAGTAGGTTCTTTCACCTCAGTGGAATTAAAAGCAATCGCTAACAAAAAATTCCCTGGAAAAATCTCCAAATATTTTGAAACTAGACAACACACCTTTAAATGACATATGAATGAAATAAAAAGTCAAAAGAAAGGTTAGAAAAATATTTACATGGAATGAAAATTTTAAAAATCAAAATAATTTTGGGGGCTCATGAAATACATAGAAATTTATAGCACCGAATACCTATATTAGAAAATAAAGGCCTCAAATCATTGACCTCATTTTCTACTTTAAAAAACTAAAAATTGAATATCAAAGAAAAACCAAAATATGCCCCAAAAAGGAAATTAAAAAGCTCATAGTGGAAACAAATGAAATAGAAAAATAACAGAGAAAAATCAATTAAACTAAGGTTAAGTTTTATGATATCAACAAAATGTATAATCCTCTGGGTAGACTGGATCAGGAAAAAAGAAGACACAAATGATCAGTATCAATAATGATAACAGACATTGATACAGGCTATAGATATTTAAAATGATAAGGACATATTATGAACAATATTATGCCAGTAAGTTTGACAACACAGATGATAGTGGACAAAACTCCTAAAACACACAAAATACCAAGGTTTATGCAGGACTAACCCCATATCTTCTAAAAACACTGAATTCAATTAACTTTCCCACAAAGAAATCTTCAAGCCCACATGGCTTCATTAGTAAATTCTACCAAACTTTTACAAAAGAAATAATACCAATCCTATATAAAAACTGCTAGAAATGGGAGGGAACATATTCCAAAACCAAACAAGGATGATAAAGAAAACTACAGACAGACATCCCTCATACCATGGGTGCAAATATTATTTAATAACAAAATGTTATCAAATTGAAACCAACAACACATGAAAAGGATAAAACATCATTAGCAGTGGAGTTTCCCTCCAGGAATGCAAGATTTGTTCAACCAATCAATGAAAACCAACCAATGAAATTTGTCATATTAATAATGGAGGGCCAGGGATTTAGCTCAGTGGCACTGCACCTGCCTTACAGGCGCAAGGTCCTGAGTTCGATTCCCCAGTACTGAAAATAAATAAATAAATGGAAAAAGAAAAACCATATAGTCATCTTAATAGGACAAAAATACATTTGACAAAAGCAACATCTATTCCTGGAAAAAAAAATTTAAACTCTCAACAAAGTAGTAGATGGGAGTATCTTCAACCTGATGGGGGCACCAATGAAAAACCTATAGTAGCTAACAACACAGCCGGTGATTGAAGTATTGCATGTTTTCTCCACGAAATTCAGTAATAAGGAACAGACATCTGTCTTGATCAATCTACACAACATTGTCCTGGAGCTCCAGCCAGCAATCCAAGTTAAAGAAAGAGAAGTAAAAGACAGAATGGAAGGGAAGATGTAAAACTGTATTTGCAAACATGATTGTTTATACAATCCTATGGGATCATCCAAAAAGCTACTAGTATTTAGCAAGGTTAAAGGATACAAGATTACTATATAAAAACTAATTCTAAACTAAGCATGGTGCTGCATGCCTATAATTCCAGCACTCAGGGAGACTGAGGCAGAAGGATCACAAGTTCAAGCCCAGACTGGGCAACTTAGTAAGACTTTGTGTCAAAAAAAAAAAAAAGTTGGGGATGTAGCACAATGCAAAACCCTGGGTTCAATCCCCATTACTGCATTTTAAAACAACAAAAAAACACCGGGGTGTGGTGGCACAGGCCTGTAATCACAGCACTCCGGAGGCTGAGGCAGGAGGATTGCTGCAATTCAAGGCTAGCCTGGGCTACATAGCGAGTTCAGGGCCAGTCTGAACTACAAAGCAAGACTCTGCCTCAAAAAAAAAAAATTCTACTTCTACACATTATCAATAAATAATTGGAAACTAAAAAGTTTTAAAAGCACCAATAATAGCATCCAAAATATAAATAATTATTTAAAAAGTCTGCCAAAAGATGTCTATCCCTCCCCCAAGTGATACATACTTTCAATGTAGTTGCAATAAATTCCAACAAATTTACTTTTGATGAAATCAATAGGTTGTTTCTAAAATTCTTATGGAAATACAAAAGACCTAGAATAGCCAAACAACTTTGAAAAATAAGAATAAATATGAGCAGTAATCAAAATAATGTGACATTGCTGGTATTAAGATAGATCAGTGGAACAGAACAAGAGAAAGAACAGTCCAGGAAGAATAAATGGCTCTGTTCATATGGGAAAAATAGTCTTTGATTTCTATCTCAAACCATATATGAAAATTAACTCAAAACTGATCATAGAGCCAGGTGTGATGGCGCACAGCACACCTGTGATCACAGCAGTCTGGGAGGCTGAGGCTGTAGGGTCCCAAGTTCATACCCGGCCTGGGGTACAGACAGGGAGAGATGAGAAAAAGAGATTACAAAAGGGACTGAGGAAAACTTGGGGGTGATACATTCATTCTCTTAAAATTGTGGCAATGGACTCACAGGTGTGTAACATGCTAAAAGTATCAGACTGTACGCATTAAACAGGTGTAATTTGTTGGCTGCCAACTATGTATCAATAAAGCTGTTTTAACAGTAAAGCTACACGAACCACTCTGTCTTCTCTTTTGGGTCAAAACCATTTTCACAGGCACTAATGTAATCTCTAAAAGAAGCTATCTTAATTCCCAACAGGGAACAAATATTTCTCTAGGAGGAGAGAGGAGGCCACCTGTGGAAAGACATGGCAGTGCACAGACAGATGTCAGCACAACAGCTCAGCAGAGGTCTGCTCTGCCATAGTTGAGCCAAAAGTGGGAGAAAAATAGAAATCTTCGGCTTCATGTCATCAACAACATTCAAGAGGACGTTGTATCTGTGAAACTAGGGCAGATGGTAGCAAAACTATAACTGTATAGGACAACAACCAAAATGTAAAGTCAACAGTTTAATAGCAGGCTGGATAGTACAAAAAACCCCACCTGAATGGGTGAATTATATGAGAAGACCATTTTGCAGAAAAAAAGGTGAAGAATGGAAATGATGGAAAAGGTATGAGAGTTATGGAGCCCAAATCTAGAAGATTAAATTGAATACATAAGAATATCTAGAGGAAGAGAGTTGAGAGAGAAGAAATAGTAAAAGGAATATACCCTGAAGGGAAGAAAGCCTTCACTTTTTAGAACAAATGCTTTAAAATTAACATGAAGCAAAAACAACACAAAGGATCTTGTATGTATAAACATCCTAAAGAGCTTTTTGTTGTTATTGGCTGGGGGTGGGGGGAGTCATTTCATTTTGTTTTGTGGTCCTGGGGATTTTACACAGGGCACTTAACCACCAAGCTATACCCTCAGCCCTTTTCATTTTGA